AGCAGCTTTGTAAAGACCTCTTCAAGCACGACGCTCGTCTCGGGGTTGAGGAGCGCCGCTTCGTACTCGCGCAGCGTGCCGTAGATCTTCAGGTTGAGTGGTCGCTGGAGAAGCCAGAGGATGTGGCACGCGGCCGGAAGCTGCCACATCGATCGCAACGTTGCGAGCTCGTCAAAGTCGATGTCGGTACCATGCCACTCGGCGCCGTCTTCCAGATAGAACGGGCTGCCCAGGAGCTTCTTGAACTCGGCGATATCGAGACCCTTGCTGAGCGTTGGCTCCTTCTTGGCGCTGGTCTTTGCCTTCTTGGCTGGCTTGACCTCGGCATCGTCCGACGCTGTCTCCTGCTTCTTCGACTTGGTCGTCGCCTTGGCCTTGGAAGGAGCAGCCTTCTTCGACGCCGGCTTTGCCTGTCGCTTCTTCGGCTCATAGTCTTCCACCTGGAAGATTGTCGGCTTCACGCGCTTGCGCTTCTCCCAGACCATCAAGCCCTGCGCATCCCCAGGTTCACCCATTTCCACGATGGCCCGTTCCACAAATGCACAAAACTGCTTGCGGCTAAAGCGGACTTAGCCGAATTTCGAACACGCAGGTCGCCGTAGGATAAAAACACGCCATTTAGTAGCAAACACGCCCCTGAACTGCGCATTATTGCCATAGGAAGGGGCGTGAACGTATCCACATCACGCAGTGGTTCAAGGACGTGTATGTAGTCTTGACGCTGCAAGCCAGAATATACATCATCGCACTGCACACCATTTTGAAATCCGGCTCTGGCAGCGCGCCTGCGACCACTCTCCCAGACCACAAGAACCACCGCTGAGCCATCACTCACGCACAAGCGATATTGGTTGCTACGTACACACAGATGTTGCGTCGGCTAGGCTCCGCAGAAGAGCCTTGGTGACCATCGCTCCCTCATCACTGCATTGCAGACCGCCCAATCGCGCATAGTGGTGTGTGTCTAGTGAGCACTTCAAAATGCCCGATTAAGTACGCTTTTTGAACTCCCGCCATCCGGATTTGAAACCGGACAATCGTATCCGGTCGACTACTGCATTATCCGGTGGCCGGCTGCTGCTTTCGTCGTCCATAACCAATCACTCCCGCATCTCGCCAGCATGTCGACGATCCCCAGCTTCTCCAACTTCAGTACGTGCATGCAGGCATCGCGAGGATCATGCTAGCAGCATGCGCTACCACCTCGCGCCGGCCATGGCCCCTTCGTGGTGCTAACGCGGCTTGGTATAGACGCCTTCGAAGACGCTGCCGACAGCTCCGGCGTCGGCTCGGGCAAGGTCCACGTCCGCGTCCAGCAGCGTAACGGCCGCAAGTGTATCTCGACGGTGCAGGGTTTGGCGGACGACTTGGACATCAAGCGCATCTTGAAGGCCTTCAAGAAGAACTTTAGCTGCAACGGTGCCATTGTCAAGGACGAAGAACTCGGCGAAATCATCCAGCTCTCGGGTGACCAGCGCTCGAACGTCAAGAGCTTCCTTGTGGACCAGGAGATCTGCCTCGAGAGCCAAATCCAGTTGCACGGTTTCTAAGCCGCTTACGCCCGTTTGTCGTGTCTCTTGGGGCCCGGCCACTTTTGAGGCGGCTCGCGGTCACCGCGCGTCAGATTGTAAGACCCCTTTGCTGCCACCTCGGATAATATACTATTTGATTATGTCCCTGCGCCTGTGCAATCAAAACCGCGAGAAAGGCAGACCCGTTGATCGAGCTCAAGAGTCTCGATGCGGCTTGAATACCTCCCTTTGAGACGGCGGTGTCTACCACGCCCAAGTCCGCATGGCCGATTCATCTCCGCCTCATGACGCGGCCGATGGCCTTGGCGTATCTCTGGAACATCGTACGATAGAGCAACCCAAACCAGGAATACAAGGCGACGACTATATCCAAAGGGTCGTGTCTACTAGTAATTACTGCGAGCGGTGCTCAATCTCGAACGTCGTCTTCTCAAAGAGCTCGGCCGTGTCGGGCTGCCAGATGCCCTGGATCGTCGGGCGCTTCGAGAGTACGGGCGCGTTGACCTTGGTCATCTTGCGGCCGCTCGTGTCGCGCAGGCGCTGGATCATCTGCATCACGAACGGGATCTCCTGGTTCTTGACGTCGCAGACCTTCTGCTCCTTGGTGATGTAGTCGCCAATGAGCACGGGGTGGCGGTTGCCCTTGAGCTCCGTCTCAAAGGTCACCTGCGGGTTCTCGGCCACGAAGGCCAAGAAGCGCTGGTCCTTGAGGAGGTCGCGCACGTAGCGGCTGCTGCCGCCGTACTGGCAGTAGCGGATCGTCAGCTTCTCCAGTTGCCACACACCGCGGGTCGCCATCTTCACTCGATCGATTGCAAAGTTCGCTCCGGCCAGTTATTTGGAGCGTCGTATCCGGATACAAATGTCCGGTTACGCACCAAATCCGACGCACCGCGACCTTTTTACCCACAGGTAAAACGCACGTAAAACTCACTCCCGCCAGATCTTATCCGGATCGAAGAAGAGCGACCAAAAGCGGGCATGACGTGGCAGCTTTGGGCGGACTTGGCTGCTTTCAATGTGCTGGACATCATGAACCAGCTTTACGCACAGTAGCGTCTTGGATTAATCATAACCAGAGGTAACTCGAGGTCTGCAATGGTGAACGGACAGCGCTCGGGCCTTCCTGCCAAGTCGTCGCAAGCTGCGTCTGGGCATCTAGATCGTCACAAGGACATTTTTGTCGTCGTTCTGCAGTATCAAAAACCACTTGCTGGTACAAACCAATAAGAATAAGAAAGGACTGCACCCAAGGGATCTACTAAAGGCCAAAAGATGGTTGACGACGCATGGTGTCTATTGCCATCCCAATAGTTGGACGCAGCGAATATGCTTGGCAAACCATGACCACTGCACTTGGTGAAGATAGAACTGCCGCGCTCGTCCGGTGCAGCCTTGCCAACTTGCTTGGTCAAGTTGGACGCGATTTGCCCGTTCAAGGGTGCTGCTGGGGCTTGAACGAGTGGGATGAGCGACCTGTCCTCTCGAATGACAAGAGAAAGCGGGTGGCGGTCAGCGTGCCTTGTTCCCAAGCTCCGTCGGCGTTTGGTCCTCCCAAGGGAGGTCTCAGAAATTGCTCCACACGCAGACAAGGAGCCGCGCGCAGACACTATTGTGTTTGTATCGTGGGTTGTCAGCAAGTTGTATCTCACTAGGCGTTCATTGACGCAACGAGCTCCCGTCGACAAGGACTGTCATCTGTAACGAGGTATACGCTCTAGCTATCGCTACCGTTTATGGCAAAGTCTACATGGCGAACGTTTTGTCGAAGCTCCTCATTGGGCATTATTCGTGCCTTTTCACACTAATGAGACGCCGTGACGAGTTGCCGCGCGGCTCTGGACCGAGGTGCGCGTATCGACGATCTGTCGTCGGGCGAGACGAGGTGCGAGGACGCCGAGTCCTCGGCCCGCGTCCCTCGGCGTCGTGGTCATTCGCTGGGTTTCGCCAGGTTTCCCCCGCATTTCAGCCAATGAGCGCGAACGTTCTAAAAATACGTAGAAGTATTCTAAAAATCGAAGTCTCTATCCCGTCGAAATTACGGGTGTACTCCAAGTTTCGCCGATGCCCAAGATTCTGCTGCCCGCCGAGCCCAAGGGCGCGACGACGACGAGCCCGAGCGACGCTTCGTCGGACGGGACGCTCGAGCACTTCAACGCGACAGCCTTCGTGCCCACGAAGCTCAAGCCCGAGATCCCCAAGTTCCTCCTCCAGCTCTTCGACATTCTCGAGGAGGAAGAGTCGAGCGTGATCAAGTGGGCCGACGACGGCGCGTCGCTGCAGATCCTCGACCCAGGCCGCGCGACGCGCGAGATCCTCCCCAAGTACTTTAGTCACAACAACTTTCAGTCGTTCCAGCGCCAACTCAACTACTTTGGCTTTCGCAAGTGGACCAAGACCAAAACGTACATTTGTACGTTTAGCCACCCGTTCTTCAAGAAGAACGAACCGGACTTGCTGCAGTTTATCAAGCGCAAGTCGGTGCCAAAGCGAACGCGGGCCTCGGCGCCGCTCGAGCTCCTCCCGGCCGTGAAAGAGCCCATCTACTTTAAACGCAAGCTGCCCCACGTCGAGGGCAATTGCATGATCCGCCCGTACGTCACGACCGAGTCGCCAGAGACACAACCCAAGATCTTACCGGCCGACGTCATTGTCTTTGCCAACCAGTCGCTACCCAACTTGAGCACGATCAGGACGCGGCTCATTCTACGACAAGAAGCGTCGCCCAAAGTCGACGAGTCGCCCCACGAGGATAACGAGGACCCTGTGAACCTTCTCCTCGGTATCAAACAAGCCATGGTTGAATCGCGGCCCTCCGAGGAAGTACCGGGCCCAACCAGCACGGCGGAGGTCGAGGCGCCTGTCCAAGCCGAGGAGGACGTGCACGCGCAGCTTGCGACCGCGCGGCGGCAAATTGCTTCGCTGCAGGCGTCGCTGGACGCGCAGATCCTAGAGAACGAGCGCTTACGGGCGACGCAACCGCGGCGAAAACGGCCGCGGGCAGGAGCGTAATAGACACGACAAAAGTTTCCAACCAAAGTTGTAGTTTGGCGACCTCTAATGCTTGCATGCACCGGGGTACCGAGGCACGGGAATGGCGTCGCGGATGTTCTCGAGGCCCGTCGCAAAGAGCACGAGGCGCTCGAAGCCCATGCCCCAACCCGCGTGCGGCACGGAGCCATACCGGCGCAGATCGAGGTACCACTCGAGACCAGTCGGGTCGATGCCAGCATCCGCCATCTTGCGCTGGAGCACCTAGTGTCGCCATCGCCCATCAGCTATGACATCGACCGTAGACAATCACATCGTACATCCAAGCGGTCTTCGCGGACACTGCCACCGACGAGCTCGCCGATCGCGGGCACGAGAAGGTCCATGCCAGCCACCGTCGCGCGGTCCGGCTCCGTGTCGTCGTTGAGCCGCATGTAAAACGCCTTGAGCGCCGCCGGGTAGTCGGTCACAAAGACAGGGCCGCCCACGTGCTTCTCTGCAAGGTACCGTTCGTGCTCGGTCTTGAGATCCATCCCTACGTCCATCATTGTAGCATCCACCTAATCGTATCGACAAGGATGTACCCCACTCGGGCGCCAAATCAAAAGACACGGGCGCCTTCTGGAGCACCTCAATGGCGTCCGTATACGTCAGATGCGGGAACGCGTCTGTCGAGAGCACCGTCTCGAGCTGCCCGAGGAGGTTCTTGTCCGCGTTGCTTTTGGCGACTTGGTCGTGGAAGAAGGCGAGGTCGTCGCCGCACTTGTCCATCGCAAAGCGGAGCGCGTTCTGGACCGCGCCTTGGGCCGTCGCCATGCACTCAGGCAGCCCCGCAAACGCCATTTCTGGCTCGAGCATCCAAAACTCGGCGAGGTGGCGCGTCGTGTTGCTGTTCTCGGCGCGGAACGTCGGGCCAAACGTATAGACGTTGGTGAGCGCGCTCGCATACATCTCGGCGTGAAGCTGCCCCGAGACTGTGAGGTACGCTGGGAGGCCAAAGAACGGATCTAGCGCGCGATGTTTAGTCTCAGAACGTCGTGTTTGCATCGAAACAATACCTTCTTTCTTGGCGCCCGACTCGCGTTCGACACGGAACTGCTCGCCCGCACCTTCGCAGTCGATGGACGTCAGGATCGGCGTCTATCAGGAGGGTCTCGCGTGAGCTGCCAGTCGATACATTGATATATCAGAATCTCGTACGTGCACTTGGACAAAGTCCTGCGACTGGAAGTAGGCGTGGAGTCCTTGGCTACAGAATAGACACGTCGAGGACGACGTCGACGAGAGCAAGAAGAGACCTGAGCGCGTTGCGCACACGCGTGACGGCGCCAAACGTGTTGGTGCGCGGGCGCAAATGGAGGTGCTCGCGCACAAACTCGAGCGTGTGGTACTTCTTGGAGAGCGGGTATGTCGACGCGTCGCTCGTGCCATACACGTGCACATCGGAGGCGTGGATCTCAACCTGGCCCGACTTGGGCGCGGCCGTGACGCGACCCACCGCGCGAATGCTGCTGCCCACCGTCACCTTGGCCAAGTCGTCGCCGCCATCGCACACGACTTGGAGGCTCTGGAAGGACGACCCGTCGTTGAGCGTAATAAAACTCACGTTCTTTTGCCGGCGGACTGACTTGACCCAGCCAGAGACGCTAGCATCGGCGCCCGGGGCCGTCGCCAAAAGGTCCTTCACCGCCGTGCGCGGGATCGACGTCGAGAGCGCGCGGGTCAAGAAGCGTTGCATCCGTCCTGCGTTGATACCACGAATCGCGGATCTTGGGCTCGACCAATCGGTGTCCGAGCGGCTCCAAAAAGGACCAATCCGCGTTGAGATTAAAAACACCCAAATTTTAGGCGACTCCATGGGAGGATCCACATCTTGGAGGATTCCACTGCACGGTGCTGGCTACCACGAGGCGACACCCATTTGCGTGCACACTTTGCGTGCGACTAGATGCCTCGAGACGTCCGCAATCGGCGGACCATGGCCGTCGCCTGTACGACGCAGCGTTGCAAGCAAGGAGTTGCCCGATGACACGTCGAGGCAATCATCGTCCATCCATGTGCAACAGGAAGTCGCAGGAGCATGTCACAGCCCGATTCAAACGACGAATCTGGACGATGGGGAGAAGACGTGCAAGATGCTTCGTCCAGCGCGTGGTTGGCCCATTCGAAGAGTGGCGCGGCTGCGATGACTCATGCGTCTTGTTCAGCCACTCTCTACGTCCCCCTCTGGCGCTGCAGACTGCCATAGAAATTGCTTGTGGGCGCGGGTGGCCGCCACGGTGGGTAAATTCAGTGGGCACACTTCCCAATGTCGTCTCAGTACCAGCTGGTTTCCCGAGATCGTCCGCATTGCTCGGTCCACAACGCCTTCAACCATCGCATTTCTCTTGGATTTTGTATGTGGACACGGGGACTGGACGGCTTTGGCGCAGTGCTCGCTGATCCACTTCCCATCCGGATACCGGCACATAAACAAGGGCCGTGCACGCCACGGCACGGTGGCATCGCCGTGCCGAGCCCCTTCTAGGCATGCTCAGCCTCCTCGCGCGTCCAGCGTTTAGAGGCAGAGATTCTCGCTGTTGTATACAAGCTCAACCGATCGAGGCGGGTGGTGGCGGGATGCGGCGCTGCCGATCAGCCCGCCTTGCTATCGTCTATCACCCCACGCATCTGCCAGAGTGGCACGTCGACCGGCATCCGAGCCAACCAATTGGCCCCGTATCCGGATCTGAGACATTTGTGCAAGATATTCCGACGTCGAATATCATTTCCTTTTTTGTGAGGGCGACCAAGGAAGTATGAGCAAGGTGGCCAAGGAAGCGGACCCTCTCCTCGTCAAGAAGGCCGACACGGACGTCTTTGACGCGCGCAAGGAATTCATCACACTTGCCTCGATGGCCGTGCAAGTGAGTCTGGCCAGCGTCGCCCGTATCGCGCTCGTCTCGATCGACTCGGCGTTCCTCGGGCACCTCGGCACGCAGGCGCTCGCCGCGTCCTCGCTGGCGTCGATTTGGACGGCGGTCCCGCTCTTCACGGTCTGGAGCATTGCGTCTTCGCTCGTCACGGTACGCCGCTCCTTGCGTCGTTCTCTGAATGGCTCATCGTCCGCGCTTGTGATAGCTCTGCGGCCAAGCGTGGGGCGCCAAGAACTCGCAGCTCGTTGGCATCTGGCTTCAATTCGCGGTCATTGTCGTCACGGTGCTCATGGTGCCGGTATTTATTTGGTATTGGTGCCTCGGCTACATCATGCAGTTTGCGACCTCGGACCCCGAGATCATTGAGCTCGGCACGCGCTTTGCCCGCATCCTCGCCTTCTCGATCTGGCCGTCGCTCCTCTACGCGTGCATGCGCCAGTACTTCCAGGCCATGGGCATCGTCTTCCCCATCACGATTGTCGGCTGCGTCTCGATTGTGCTCACGATCGCGGCCAACTACGTTCTTATTTACGGCTACGCGGGCTGGGGCGGTCTCGGCTTTGACGGGTCGCCGCTCGCGACCGTGCTCGCGTCGTGGTTCCAGCCCATCTCGCTGTACCTCTACTGCTTCGTGTACAAGAAATACCATTTGCAGGCGTGGGGCGGCTGGCGCTTCGAAGAGCTCACGCGCGACCGCCTCGTTATCTTTATGCGCATGGCGACGCCACTCGCACTCAACAACCTCCTCGTCAACATGGCGCAGAGCTGCATGTCGCTCATTGCGGCCAAGCTCGGGTCCGAGTCGATCGCTGCGAACGCCGTCATGTCGACGCTCTGGAGCCTCGTGTGGGCGCTCTTCTGGGGCTTTGGCTGCGCGACGCAAGCACGCGTCGCCAACCACTTGGGTGCCGGTCACCCCATCTCGGCGCAGAAGATCTCGCTCATGGGCTTCACGTGCACGCTCCTCACCGGCGTCGTGCTGGCGGCCAGCGTCTTTCTGCTCCGAAACGAAATCTTCCGCTTGTACACGTCCGATAGCGAGCTCCTCGGCATGTGCATCCTCGTGCTCCCGCTTTTCCTCCTCGGCTTCACGCTCGAGTCCCTCGAGATGTCGATCCAAGCGATGCTCAACGGCATGGGCCAGACGCACATTGCGACGTACGTCTCGTTCTTTGCGTCGTGGTTTGTGCAGCTGCCGGTCTGCTACCTCCTTGCAATCGCGCTCGACTGGGGTTTTGTCGGCATTTGGTATGGCACGTGCATCACCGAGATCTTCAAGCTCACGATCTTCGGCATCAAGTACCTCGGCATCGACTGGAACGACATGGCGCTCCAGGCGCTGCAGTCCATGGAGGTCAAGGAAGACGACGACTCGACCGAGGAGCTCAACGCGATGGACTTCAACCTCCCGGTCGGCTACGTGCTCTCGTCGCCGGCGTCGGCCGTGCTCTCGTCGTCCGCGACGCCGCGCCGCCGCCGCGGCTCGACCCACTCGTACCATGATGTGAACGAAGCGTAGTAGATATATTAGATGAACCAACTTGATAAATCCAGCAGTGTGCATACTGTGTTGTCGCGAAAAAGGACACGACTAGAGTGATCCGAGACGTGACGAATCTGCGTCGCACGCGGAGACGCTTGGCTATGTCGCCGTCCATCTAGTTTTCGTGGTGCGGGGTTTGAAGCAGCGCGTCAGTCAGCGCGTTCGTGGACACCAACGCCAGCCGGTGGTGACGATTGCATCAAAATGCACTGCGGACGACGACAGACTCAGATCGTCCATTTTGCCTTCTGAACTTGGCCTGTCCTGGCACTGCAAGTTCTGCCAACTGCCGATCCACGATCCACGAGCAGTCGGCAGATAAAAAGAGCTTATCCCACACAACGTGCTTCCAGCACATCACTTGCTCGTCACGGAGCGACGACGCCACCGCGTGCGTTCCATGCAAAAGTGCCTCCCGACGCTTGCGCCCGAATGCACCCACTACGAGGACTGTACCCAAGGCTCCTCGACGCCAGTGCAGCATCAGTCATGCAAGCGCTCTCTCGAGAACTCACGATTTTCCCAGTCGCAATCGCCGTGTCCACGGATGTCCACTGCTTCAACATATTCGGATGGGACGTGCATGGACACGAAAACGGCGCATTCCTGCAACGGCACGTGCAGTCGGGCTCATCGTCGCACCGCCTCGGGCCTCAAAAACGAGCGAGATGATGTGGCGCGGTGGCGACGAGCTGCGGTGCTAGCAACAGCAGCGGCGAGACGTTTGGCGGAAAGGCGTTTGCGTATTATTCCTGTGATGGAAATTCATCAGACTACAGCAGAGTGTACGAGAAGTACGAGACCAGCGTATTACCGGTAATGGCATCACGACGCTCATTACCATTTTGATGCAATCATGGCAAATGCGACACACCACAGTAGTTCTAGTAGTTCTAGGGTGGCGCGTGCGGACCACTCGAACACTTGGCTGGCGTGGGTACACGGACCAAGTACTGTAGTCAATGCACCCATGTCTGGCCTCGACCGCACTCCAAACCACCCGAGAATGGACGTGGAGCAGCACCGAGATGCGTAGACGAAGCAGCGCCATTCCTTTCTGAACTTACTCCTGCTCGTCCCCCTCGCCGTGTCCTCGAGATGGCCACTGTCGCAACCCCAAACCCTGACGCATGCGCTTCAAATTTAGGCATTTCCCTGCTTCAAGCATCGAATCAGGCCTTTTTTCGTCTAATTCGGGTTCCGCCGAAACGCATGTCGCCAGCCGGTACACCCATAAGGTCAGCCTGTTGCGGCCACGCCACGCCTTACAGCTCCGCCAGTCGCGTTTGTATCTGTGGCTCAGTTTTCATTTTCGCGTCCACGAACCACATCCACATACTAGCATGGCTCACTGCAACGTCTGCGCCACGTCCTTTGCCTACTTTCGCCGAAAGAGCTCGTGCAGCCGGTGCCACGCGAGCGTGTGCCGCCGCTGCTGCGTCAGCGTCACCACCAACGCCGAGCTCAACCCTGTCGCGACCAAGAACGTGCGCATCAAGATGTGCCTCGGGTGCATCTCGACGCACAAGGAGCCGACCAAGCCGTCGCTCGCAGCACGCGTCCCGATCCTCCTCGACCTCGCGATCGAGTCGACGCCCAAGGTGGCACCGACAGTCTACTATGTGGCGCCGATCGTCGAGCCGGAGCCGTCGCCCAAGCCATTTTTCACGATGGACGCGTCTGGCGCCGATACGCCCGAGAAAATGCAGCAGCTCATGGCGCGCCTTCTGTCCGTGCAACACACGACCGAGCACATCATTTCCACGACGATGCAACTCAACTCGCCCGTGGCATGAGCAGCAACATCTCCTGCGTACATATCTATCTCGACTAATACTAACTTATTTCTATTTTTCTGCTTTTCTTTCGCGCCAACTTCAGAAAATTGGACGATGTCGACGTACATGGCCTCTTTGTAAGGCGTGCGTTCAGAAGGAGAAGGTGTGGCCAGCGCTGAGTGGCACCGCGGCATCGAAAGGCAACCTCGTGTTTATGTCAACGCGATCGTCAGGCGCTGGCGCGAGCTCAGTTGCAGCCACCTCAAGTCGCATCCCGAAGATGTGCAGTTCTGGCCACACAAAGGAGGAGGCATCGAAGGCGCTTCCATTCGAAGCGGAACGTCGAGCAGATCCGAGCCCGAGATGCGTGGGAACCAGCGTGGGAACGGCAAGAAAAAAGGGCAGCAAATGTACTAGTACTAATCAGCTCTAAACCTTCTAGACGAGATGGCGCCTCTGGTATCTTAGTACGTGAGGTGGCGCTCGTACGAAGCGAGTTGGTTCTCCGCCTCGGCGATGCTGATTTCGAGCTTGAATACGTTGCGCGCCTACGATCTCCACGTTATCGATCGGATGCAGCAGCTGCAACCGTCTACCTTGAGCTCGTTCATCGTAAACTCCTCGATCAGGCGGCCGCTCTAGCAACAAGTTAGAAGCCGCGTGCGAAGAGAGTCGTACAATGTAGATGGCGAGCTCTTCCGCCGACGAGTGCACGATGGGCAAGATCGAACAGTCGGACTTGGGGAAGCTAGCACCGCGTGTCAGCGTCGTGCGCATGCTGTGGAGATGCGAACCTGAACTTGTGGCCGTCTTCAGTCGTCAACTGCACGTTGGTATCGTCGACCACAATCTACCAAGCAACATGAGCGTACGTACGCTAGCACGATCGCACCGTCAAGACGTCGCTCTCGCGCTTGCGTCGAGCCGCAACTGCAACCCACTGAAGATCAACCTGACGCGGAATTACCTCAGCGTTGCGTCAGCGCCTCTGCTACTGACGACGCTGGGGGCATGTCGCGACGTCACATTGCATTTGGACGAACCTTTAGTGTACTCGAAACTCGAGCACGCCCCGTACCCATACTACAAGTACATGTACGCGCATGATTCAGGGAAGGGCGAAGCTGCTTACAAAAAACGCGTCGAAATATCTAGAATCCTCGGCGGCCTTTTCCAAGTGCATCGGCTGAACTACGTGGCGTCTGGCACGTACATGTCGCCATCGCGCACCTCATCGCCATGGCACCCGATCGGTTTGTAAAAATTCGCAGCAAATGTAATAATTTCTGATTTTGTTGTCCTTTGGATTATATGCCTCGAAGCTTGTACACAACGAGTTTTCGAGTACGTCAGTCTCACTTTGTCGGTTGGGTATTTTGGCGAAGCGCCAAACATTTTGCATCTGACATACTGGGCAAGTCACCCACCGCACCTTGGCCGACTTGTGGTGGAGGCACACGATTCTTGCCTCTCGTCTTGCGTTTGGACCAGCAAAGAGAGCGCACATAGAAACAATAGTGAGTGAAGCATGGTGTACGATCTGCCGCCGTGCCATCGCGCTGTGTTTTAATGATTTGTGGACGTGTGGGAAATTCGGTTCATAGATCAGCGATGACACCGTTCTCTATTGCCAACTATCGCATTGGGTTTGCGTTCCCGCAAGTCCAAACCACTGCTGCATCTTTGCAAGACGACGTAATAGTACAAAATTGTAGAGTCGCCCTCGTGACATTAGCGTTACAGAGAGGCGTGACTTTGACAAGGTATTACACCGTGTTGGAGAAGGCTACAGAGCGCGAGCGATGCTGTAGCTGATAGAGCTAGCGTCGACAGACTGCATCGTAGCGATGCAGAAGCCGCTGCGTTGCGCAAACGTCGCGTGGAGCGCATTTATTACAATTTGTAGTCAGCACTCAAATGTGCTTGCAAAAGCCACTGCGCGCACGATCGTCACCTCATTGAGCACGGAAATGCTCCTCGACCCCGCTCGAGCTTTGCATTTTCTATATCATTATTGCGCGAATTGTCGCTGGCCTCGACCTAACCAGACGAATGCGCCGCACGTCGCACTGCCGCTGTCGATTGCCGGCGTCCTTACATGCTACGTCAAGTCCAATCGATGACGATCGAAAACGAAGCGTCGAGCGACAGCGTGGCGGCGCTACCACCCCAACATCTGCACACACCCAAGGTGCGAGCCTAAGTGATGACTTGGAGACCGTCGCCATTGCGGCTTGAGCTCCAAGGTCAAACATTGATGCCACTGGCGAGCGGAGTGCGAGCAGGCTCTCCGCTATCTTCCTTGTCACTGGATGGTACTGCTTGTATGCACGGTGCCTTGGCGGCGCCCTACAATATGTATCACATGACATTTCTCTCGATCAAGGGCATAGTGCTGTTCCTTGCTCTTGATGAATTGACTGGGGTGGACAATCGCGAGATTGTTAAATTGTACACCAATATGCATTTTTGCCATTTATTTAGTATTACAGGTATTTTGTGTCACAAGAAACGGCGAAAAGCGCGGGCGGAGAAGATGGTGGACGAGCACCATGCGAAGCGGACCTGCCGACATCCCAGCTCGCTTCGCTTACCGAGCGTCGTGCTGCACGCTATTCTGGAAGCGCTTGCGGATGGCAAGGACGTCACGGCCTTGCTCGGTGCGCTGCCGATATTGACGCTGCCACCGGAGCTCGTTGGGCTCCGCGACCTTGGTGCAGTCGTCGACCTCGCCGAGCACTGGCCAATCGTGCATGTCACCAAAATCCCAACTGTGCACGCTTGCCTCGCCGTTGCAGCGCTGCCAGCGTTTCAAGGCGTCTTCATTGCCGCTGGTTTTGCAGCGCTCGCGTGGCTCGACGCGACCTTGCCGCCCAAAATGCCCGTGACGCTCGTCATGGACCTCGCGGTGCCAGGTCTTCTCGGTGCTTTTGCGCATGCATGGGGCAATCGCATTTCCCATGTCATCATCCAGAGCCAGAAAGTGTTATCGGACCCGATCCCGGACATGCTGGCGCGCTGCGTCAACGTCGAATCGGTCACGATTGAGCGCGCCGCGACACCCGACGCCGCGGCCGCGTACTTGGCGGCGATGCCTACGCATCGCTTGCGGACACTGCGAGTGCGTACGAACGCTGTCGGCGCGCTCGATGCGTCGGCCATTGTCGCGTGGCTGGAAGGACCGAGCGCGTCCTGCCTCGTGCTCGACTGCGGCACGGTGCGCGACCCGACATCGCTCGTCCGCGCGATCCAGACCTCGTCCACACTCTCTTCTTTGAGTCTCGTGGATGCCCCGGACGTTCGAGCTGCGTTAGCAACGTCGCCACACGAGTTGCACCACATCACATCACTCTCGCTGAACCAAGATGGCACGCAGCATGCGACCGACATCCTCGGCAAATTGGATTGGCCGTCGCTTCGCACGCTGAGCGTCCGCAACACGCGGCAAATTGTCCTTCCGCTCTACGACGTTACGATCGCTCTCAGCGCGTGCTCGTCGCTCGAATCCGTGTGCCTCTATCACTGGCTTTTGCCTGCCGCCACATTCACTGCTGTCTGCCCGCAGCTCACGACGGCCTCGCTGCGCCGACTGAATTGCAAGACGGAGCTAGTCGCGACCCTTATGCGCTGGCTCTCGACGTCGCGCCAACTCCAGCTTGTCGACGTGAGCGGTACTTTGCTCGGGAAGGAAGGGTTCTTGACGATGGCACGCGCGCTGCCCGCGTGGATGGCGCGTGGCCTCCAGACACTTCAGCTGAGCAGGACGGGGCTCAACGACAAGGATGCAGTTGTATTGGCCGTTGCCCTAGCGTCGGGCAAGAACCGGCGACCGCTGACGATCGACTTGTCGGCCAACAACATGACAATGGCGTCGGCCCCCGGGTTGCTCACAGCGCTGGGGGCTTGCCGCAATGTGACACTACGTTTTGGCAGTAATTTCGCGCTGCGTGCTATTTGGCCGGATCAGTGTCTCGGCGACGATGAGACCATCCAAGATCTTATCCGAACGCACCAGCTCCAGTACGTTGAATCGGAACATACGTTCTCGTCGCCGTCCCGCGTATCGTCGCCATGGCAACTCGTCTAAGGCTTTTACATTTTGAGATATTACGTAGTATGAATGTGTGAGTCGTCCCTAATCTGCGCGTCCAACGTGAAACGTTTTTGTGCGAGCATGGTTTCATCTGGCTAAAGTCGTTGGGACGAGGTCGTCCTCGTCCTCGCGACCTACTCGGCGACGTTGGGTTGCTGAGGCTGGAAGCGCTGCCTTGATTGGAAAAAATGCAGAAGCTGTTGCGTTCCTACTACTATTGTAGTCGACCAGGAGGCTCTTTGTTTCGACTGACCTCTCTTGACTAGACCACAGTGCGTTGAGGCCTTGTGTGCCAAGCTAGCTAGTAGCATGGCTGGTAGCGATCGTGGTGGTGGAATGCATCGAAATGACGCGAATTGGCACAACGAGTACAAAAAACGATTTGATTTGAGTATGCCTTCTTTCTTGAAACAGTGAATGAAGCCAAAA